ACATGTGGCCGTCATGGTGTTATTCATGGAATAGAACACGCAACACAGAGAGCAAATCATTACCGACAGAAATACAAAAACAAACTACCAAATTACTAATTCAGCGAATCATCCACTGACTGTAATGTGGATTGTAATGCATCCACCTGTTAATGCAACAACACTGGGAACTGTGGTCTCCCCTCCAGAGAGCAGCACACAGATCGTGAGAAATGCTGCGGAGCAGATCTTTAGCGGAGCGGTAACAGACCGCTTGAGCTGGGGTGATGGGTGGAAGTGGTGAGAGGGGCAGCTCAGCCGATGAGGGCAAAGGGGCAGTGGCTCTAGACACCGGTCCACCCCCCTGTGCATGGTCCTGTGTGAAACATTGCCAGAGTGGTTTAACAAGCGTTAACAGAGCCGAACGTAAATCATTCAGTTCTGGTATTTTTAATGAAACCGCTTCTTAATAAGAACCCACAGAATACATACAGCCGTAGAATGCGGTGGCCTTTAATTGGTTGTAAATATTATATGAAGACAACTTTGGCATTTATTCAGGTAATTTATGAGGCTGAAATAAGGTGTTCACCTTTTATATCACCTGAAGATGGCGTCACAGGTCCATGTTCTCTGGCGTTCTCAAGGTCAAAGCCATCAAACATGGCCGCTTCAGGAATCGCAGACAGCTCCATGCTTTTAAAGGAACGAGTTCCAAACCTTAAAAATATTACCAAAGCGGTTAGAAAAAAAAAGTCAAGACCTGACCAAATAATATTGTCTAATTCTACAGTCATATCATTGTCTTTATTAGTAGCCTACATGATGGATGCAGTCCTAGCCTGTGGTGCTCTTCCTCTGTGTAAGAAAACATCTCTCCTCTAATCTCAATTTCTTCACTTATGCTTTCATAAGGATAAATGCCTAGACATCTGTTCTTGTAATAAAATCAGTGAAAAGTAATTTTGTGTTATTATTGTAAGTCACAAAATGTGTAGAAGTGTAAAACAAATTAATGTGTCAGTAAGAATGTGAGATTCTTTCATTTTTTTTTACCATATGCACTATTGGCACACAAGAAAGTGAGTTAAGTGTATGACTAAACCTAGCGCCCAAGCAGCACAAGCTTAGTGACACCAAGATAAATCACAAAAATATAAGTCTAGATATCAGAAATGTAAATTTAATAATAACCATATTTATAAAATCTAACCCTGTCTTTAATGTTGTTTAACTTTTTAGTTCAAACAGCAGCACATAGTGCTAGCAATGCCAAGGTC